AGAGAGAGAGAAAGAAACATGAATTGCCCGTTTTGCACATATTTTTAGCCACGGATTTGCCTGAAATGGATTTGCACATGGTAAAAATTATATAAATTAACAAAGAAGTTTTTAGTAAATTTATAATAACATGCAATTAACTCCATAGTTTTATAGAATATAATTATATCTATTGTTTTTTATTTTTATTTTATCAAATTTTGAAGGAGTTTGTCTATTTGTTTTTTGGATAAATAAACATTACTACATAGTCTTTTAATTCTATTCATTTGATTAAAAATGGTATTTAAATCGATGGTTTTAGGAGCATTAGGATTCCAAGTAATAAGTTTATTTATATTAAAGTTAAAATCATTTCTTTTATCGTATAAATCGACAGAGCAGATATTTTCTTCTTTTATAGTATCCAAATCCAAAAAATTAATATTATCATCATGATTACGAAGCAAGATTAATTCCTCGGGGTAAATATTATTTAATAAAATTGTATAATCTTGAATATTAAAGATAATTAAATCATCAATAAATCTAAAAATAAATTTAATATTAAAAGTATAATTTTTTTCATAATAGTGCAAAAATAAGTTAGCTAAGAGAGATGAAAAATTAGATCCTTGATGTGGTATTCCATCAATTTGAATAAAAAATTTTTTTCCCATTATTTAAAGTAATTAATAAAAAGATAAAAAATTAATTAATCAGAATATCTTAATTAATCTTAAAATTAATTATTAAGAATAATTTTGAAATCATCGTAATAATTCAAAAGGACGTCTTTTACTTGAGAAAGGGGAATGCTATTGAAAAGATTCTGGAAATCAAAAGTCTCACTAGAATTAATTTTATTATGTTTAATAAATTCTAAAATCGGTTGATTATTAGCGATAATCCAAGAAAAACCTTCTTTAGAAATATTGTTAATAATTTTATTTAAGTAGTTAGAGAAAATGATGAAACTTATATTTCATCTATGTTTTATTCTGCTTTTTCTTTTTCTTTTATTTTATTTTCTGTTTTTACGTGTTATTTTTACTTTTTGTGTTCTATTTTATTTGTTGTAATTTTGTAAAGAGATTTTTTCAGTGCTCCTCACACTATTGTATTAATATATTTTGCTTTGGCAATATTGATACAATATCAGAAAGCACTCTTTTTTGCGGATATAATCGTGTGGGCTGATGAAAAGATTATATCTTTTATTTTGCGTTTTTTTTAAAATTTTTTTTATCTTTTTCCCCCAGTTGTTTGTAATTTTTTATTATTTTTTTCTTCCTTCCCCCCTTTTTTTTCATCATATGTCTAATTTTCCTTTGTTTTATCTTCATTTTGAACCTATATATATATACTCTAGGGAGCAATTTTAGGCACGTAAATTGATAAAAATCATAAAATTAACTTTTATACATCATATATCAAATTTTATGACTTGTTAACTGATAATTAAAATCATTTTCAGTCAAGAAAAAATGTAATACTATACAACTCTAACACCATTTATTTGGACTGTTTGAAAATTAACGTACTTGGTTTAATCTTAATTTTTCGAAATCATAGCATTAAATGTGATATTTAAGTTGTCCAGGTGATATTTTAAGTTACGAAATCAGATACGATCACAGTGCTGAGATAAAATGTATTAAGTAGAATCCCCTTGTCGTTGGGCTAGCCGTTAGAAGTTTTTGGTGGATTTTATTCCGTGTAACACAAATGCGGGCTAGTTCCGTCTAAAAGTCCTCCGCGAAGTTAGTCCCAATGTTCGATCCAGGAGTTCCCTTATTTTCTGAATTGGGTTTCAAAACTATGAGGCTGCGGATTGGGTCTGATGTTTAAAGCCGGTTATGAAATAAAATAAAAATCTGAAAAATATGGTCCCAATAATTTAGACAATTACGTTTTTCGACATATCTTGTGAACTTTTCTGGCTAATTAAAACATTTTTGTACGCAATGGACAGTTTGTTTATCCAAAGATAGTTCCATGCAAAAATAAATTTTTAATAATTATTTTGTGTTACATCATTTAATAATATTAGAAAAAAAAAAGTGAATAGTAGAGTATAAGATATTTTTGTAACTTAAAATATTGCAAAAATTAATTACTTTAGCTGAGGTTAAGCTCTCGAATCATTAAGTTTGATGAAAAATCGATAATTAAAATAGAAATCATTCAACATATTCGTTTTTTTTTTCTTCCTAAGTTAGATTTTTACAACACGGCAAAAAATTATTATTATTTGAAAAAAAAATTGAGAATTGTAAGTATATAACGTGAATTAAAACATTGTTCGGTCGAATATTTTTTTTATTTTTTAACTCTTTTACTTATTGTGTCCAATGGGGCACCTCTCTATATCTATTCGAACCAATATTCTATTATCTATTAAGAAAATTTCTTTTTACGAATTAAATTTCTAAAACTCAAGTTCAACGGCAAGATATTTTTCGATTTAAAAAGTATTTCATATCATTTTTACTAAATCTACAACGAACCCTTTCCTCACAATTAGAATAGATTTAAAGTTTTTTTATTTTTCTTCTTTTTTTAAAAAAAAGTGGTTTTTGGGCAAGGCTGTGGATCTCAAATTCTTTTCTCGATTCAGTGTCTTTAATTTTTATCTGTTCATTGTATATTTATTCCTTATTGTTTTTCATGTAAATGCGTTAACTGCGACTTTTAACCTATCTAGAAGGTTGCAGTACTCGTTTGTACCTGTCATTGACTTCGTTTTTTAAAGTTAAGTGAAGGGGCAATTTTTGCGATATAATAATATTATGTGGAGAGTCCGTTATTGGATTAAGAATTATGACACTTTTCTGAATCAAAATTAAGTAATTTTTGAAATTCTCTTAACTTGGACCCTCTAAACTTAAATATTATTACTTTATCTTGAAAACTTATGACTCATTACAAAGATTTGATTTCACCATTCGTGGTTAAACCATCAATGGTTCTTGCTCTGAAAAAGTTTATAATTACTAACTAACCTATTATAATCGGCATAAAACTTATTATTATATGCCAATGATAAACATACTTTGATTTCGCTGTCAATAACTACACATGCATTGAGTATTTACAATGTGTAACGTCATTGCAACGCCTTTTATCATCTAATCCAGTGATTCTCAACCACTGTGCAGCGGCACTTTGGTGTGCCGCCAAATATTAGAAAGTATACAATAAAAATTACAATGCATTTTTTTTTATTGCGACACACAATTTTAAAAAATGTTGAAATAAGTAGGAAATTTAATGACTATTAAAGTTATTAATTAGCAAAGGAAATCAAGCTAAATATTAACTTTCAAACGGAAATAAAAGCTAATCATTAAAGTAAGCTGTGCAATTAATAGTTATAAAAACAAATTAACAAAGGATAACTAACAAAAAAATAAGCTAGCAATTAATAATTAGCAAATTAACTAGTTTATAAGAAATCACAAAAAAATAAGAATTTAAAAAAAAAAAACAACAGTTAATAACTATAGAAAACAAGCTAACATAATAACTAGGAAAAAAACATAACTGTTACTGACTATTAAAAATTAGTCGAAAGAAATAATCCCTTTATAAACGTGCCTTTGTAGTACATATTATTTTATTTCACATTCAAAATTATTATCACGAACTATTCAACACAGATTATTATAGGTAAGTAAACAACTTTTAAACTAATTTTTTTCATTGTGTGCCGTCAAATTTCGAAATCGTTAAAAGTGTGCAGCTACAAAAAAAGGTTGAGAATCACTGATCTAATCTGTTAATTGCCTGGTTATTGAATGCGCCTATAGCTCACTCCTAGAATTATTTTTTTATCGATTTGGTGAGCATTTTTGTTTCTCTAAAATCCAATCTAACTTTAACAAATCAACTATAAATAAAACAACTATCTTTTTAATGTACCTATTGCTTCTAAATAGTATATTTTTTCTGTAGATTATTTTGAAATTTATTTTTGCATTTGTAAAACTTCCTTTTCCCGGTATTTTTAGAAGTTTCGAAACTTTTCTTTCAGCTTAAATCCACGATTGGGCAAACTTTGTTTGCTTCTTATTCAGGAGATGAAAGCAGATAATTAGTTTGATTCAAAATGGAGAAAAAAAAAATTTGAGTTTGCTTTCTATAAATACTTCATTTTTCGTTTTTTCACCTTCGAGCTCGAAATACTTGTTCACAATGATTTTATTTGCAAAGTGTAAACTATTCTGAAAAAAACAGTGAAAAAATTTCTTTAAAATTATAATTAAAAAAAAAATATCAAAAGTTCTTTTTTATTTTAAATTGTATGTCTATTAGAATTTATTGAATATCTCTCTTTATTAAAAAATCGTAAACGCCGCCACTGTTTTAGGTTTTCAATTTTGTATTACATTTTGTGTCGCTGCTTTTGATCTGAGGCTAACGTTTTACCCATGATAAAATTTCATTTTTCAAATAGCTCTTCCGAGAATTCTAATGAAAATTTCAAACGAATTTTAGAGCCGAAGGCTGAAATTGTCCTTTGAAGCTGCAGTCTAAATTTCAAATCGTTACCACAACGTTTCTGGAGTTTTAAGAGAGACGCACTCACGGACAGGCGCACAGACTCATTATTTTGTTTTTATAGATAAATTTTGTATTCATGTTCAAGTTTAAATGTATTTAGATCAAGACAAAATCATTTTTTTAGCAAATTTACCATTGTTTGAAATTTTGCTCATTTAAAAAATTAAGTGATTGCCATAGATAGTTAGTTTGTTAATTAGCATATTTTCCATTTTTAATACTAAAATACATGCTATACCTAAAATAATAATTAAAAATAATCAGTCCTTACAGAAATCTAATGTTTAACTATTAAAAAAAATGAGGTTTATACATTAAAAGTTTTTTTATTTATTTCTTGGTGCTGCTTTTAACTAATATAATATAATGCTTGGTGCTGCTTTTAACTGCTTTTAACTTTTAACTTTATAAATAAACTAATTGCTTTCTAAATGCTGCTTTTTATTTACTTACAGCCAGTCGATTGCACTGTGAAAGTGAGTCATTCAAGATGGACTTAATTTTGGACATTAACATACAAGTGTATCCCATGGAGCTAGGTATGTACATTGTTATTTGATTCATGTACAGGGGGTGGACAAAATAATGGAAGCACTTCTTTACTAATACATTTTTTCATATTTCTTAAGAAATACTTAAAGAATCATTTTATAACTTCAGAAGTGTTTAGATCATGCGATTTCTCACACTTATCAATGAAGCTTAAAGCTTTTAGAGGTTTAAAGCAGTGGTTCTTAACCTTTTTAAGCCGCGATCCAAATTTGAGAAATATGTTCAGGTCGCGACCCAAAAAAAAGTCAAAATTAGGCTGAGTAAGCCACAATGACTTCTTCTAGGAGGTGTTGGTATTACTTATTATTTGGTGTATTACTAACTTTTTTGGTTCGACTCAGCGCGACCCAAGAAATATGCTTCGCGACCCAATTTTGGGTCGCGACCCATAGGTTAAGAACCGCTG